AAAACCCCATAAGCCTAGATAAATCTAATAAATTAAGGTTGCATATAATATCAGATTAATTTAAAATAATAATCTATAGATGGGACAGAATTATGGATATGATTATAGCTGAAAAAGCAAAAGGATAATTATATATTGGCTGTTCTCGGATTACTAACAATAGCAATAATTGGAAGAGTTGTTCTGAGATCAACAGCATTAATTTTAATAAATTCTCAAGGAATTGAAGCTATTGCTTATATTAAAGACCACTCAGAGAGCTAAAACTACGATGTGGCAATTTTATTATATGGACTATCTAAAGTTTTTACAAGTCTATTAATAATTATGGCGTTATCTATATATTCACTTTGATGGCTAACAATAGTTTAACAATACAAAAAATCTAAGTGCTCTGTAGTAATGCTGAGAATTAAATAAGTATATGTTTTGATAATTGTGGGTTTTTGTTTTTACTATTTTGCCTATTTAATCTATGGATTTGCTGCAAATGGTAATTATCTTGTGCATTACCCCAGTCTAGCTTACGTAATTACATTTAGTATAATAGATTTAATAATTGTCCTGACACATTTATACACAATGATATTTATAGCTTGGTATTATAGAAATAATGTTGATTTTTAACTCATTGAGGAGCATCTTAAGATAATCATCATGAATAATTAAAAGAGACTGAATTCATTTTTTATAGCGCTTATTTTACTTACTGCTATTAGATAGATTGTAGTAGTCTTAATCGAATCAGTTTAAATAAAGTTCACTGAGGATTATGATTACACTAAAAATGAGCTTATCATACATTCTATATTTACAGGAATAACAGATGCAGGATTTTTGCTTTTTATGGTCAAATCTGTTAGATGGGCCCTCAGGACTCAGCATAAATATGAAAGCTGATATAAAAAGAGATGGGTATCTTAGAATATTACAGTATTGATGAAATCTTTATTTAGACCAGAAATGGATACTATTGGCAATGACATTGAAAGCTTGAGTTTCTTTTAGTTTGAAACCAATAATAAAGATTCACTTGAAGTCGACGTTGATATTCTTGTCTAGGAAATCTCTGATAAAAGAAACTCTGCTTAAGAAATTATAAATCGTTAGATAAATATGATGTTCTAGAGAAATAGTGGTTCTATATAAAATTAAAGTTCTGATTAAAACTTGATTTGATATGCAGCATATTGTGTAATATAATTATGTATTGATTGATAAATTAATTCTACTAAATTAGTAGATAAGTTGAGAATGGGGTTTTGGGGTTTTGGGGTTTTGGGG